GCTGCTTTGCTTTGTTTCAGAACGAAAGAATGTGGACCCGTCAATACGTTAATTCGGTGGTACATCGAAATATTGGCTAACTTAGATACTGTCTCCAAGAGAATGCCTTAAAGAACCCAAGCCAATTCTCAGGTATGTTTTAGATTAATGTTTAAATGTGCGATTAAGCGAGGATTGAGAAAATTTGGAGTTATACCACATGGTGAATTATGCCATAGAAAATGTCTACCTAATAAGAGTTTCTGTTATCGTGAATACCTCTCCCTTATTTTTGGATTGTTTCATTATGGTAAATTTTGCTACAGTCATAAAAATTGTCATCCAGGGGATGAAAAATAGTTTTTCTGTCGTTAGAAAGTGTCCAAAGCTCTCTGTATGGTTTGGTTTGCGAACGCGAGGATAGTTTCTAGTCGCATATTTTAGGTTTCAACTTTGAGCATTTTCAATGTCCGAAGGCGAAAACCGATTTTCTTATTTTTCTTGAAATAAAAGAGCTTCTGGCGGAAACAAACTACATCAAGTTTCTTTTCTACCTAATAGTTATTTATGAGCAAAAAATGAAAGAAATCGATTTTTCAACTTCTGCCACTCAATGCATGGTTTTCCCTGACCTCCTTTCTTAAGCTCTCGTAAGCGACCACTTGTTGTGCTACACATTTATGAGACATTGTATTATTTTTAATCATCTGAATAGGAGAAGTTTTCGATCTATGTGGATGCGTGACCTGTACATTCGCTTTCGCACATGTCGTAAGTGGCCAGCCTCTATTGTTTCAGCGCGTGGTCGCTTACGAGAGCCAATTCTCGTAAGCGACCAGCTCTAGTTACGAACATTTTTTCGAATTCCCTAGGTGGTCGCTTACGAGAGCCTCGACTGTATTTCTTTCTTTTGTCACGTTTTTCCTAATATTATTTCACTGCATGATAATTGTTTTCAAACGTTTTAGGCTTCTGTAGTGAAACGCGAGACCACTCTCTCTGACGTGGAAGCCATTTACAGTCGCTACAAGAACAGAATGCGCGGTGATGTAAGTTAAGATTTACCCGTGTTTGATCACTGATTGGTTTGTGGACTTTGTACTGAAAATTGTGGTTGACTTATCCTTACTACAATTAACTGAGCCTTAAAATCATAAGGGGGTAATACTTTCAATTTTACTCGAATTATATTGTTATGAAATATTTTTTGAAAAAATATATTTTTCAAATATGACAGTGTGTTTCATCCGATTTCCAAATACCGAGAAGAGAATTAAAAATACGACGCGTAGTGGAGTATTTTTGACGAAATTTGAGGCGCTTGGAAAGCGGATGAAACACTGTCTTGAGTGTTTGATATATCTTCTCAATCGAAACAAAACCTAAGGAATAAAAGACCAGGTATCCAAACCTTCGTCATGATGATTTAATTCATATTAATAAGTTTAAAATGTCACTTCCAGCACACGAGTCAAGGATCATTATTGGACCAATCAGAGCACACGTCGAAATATGGAGTTTTGTTAAGCAAGCAACAACGACTGCAAAGGATACAGCCGGATAAAAGTGGTCCTCAAAACAACACATAATATTGTTATTGGGAATATTCATATTAAACAAAACCCTTCATTTGTAATTTTAGGGCACATACTACGGACCTTACCCTGTGGGGAGGGGTGCGTGCACCCTTGACCCGTTGTCGCCGATGGCCACCAAAAGGGATGGATTCGTGTTGCTGCCGCGTATGCAAACTACCAGAAGTCACTTGGTTGTGGAATGTGCCTTGAGATTACAGGCATAGGTTCAGGCAGTGGAAATGATCCCATCGTTGGAAAAAGAAAGGCTGTGATAGTTGATTTATGCGCCGGTGGCTGTGGAAACAGTAAGAACGAATTTATAGCGTCTTCTAATAGGCCATTTCCGAGTTGCCTTTTGCCTCTGTTCTGGTGCGTAACCATTGAAATGAAAATAATGTTTGGAATAAAATTCATTTTCATATATGAAAGGTTGTGCACCAGGACTCGTTTTGAAACAGAAAGAATCAAAAGCTCCTATCGCTCACTTGTTAACGAATATTCATAAATTAATACAATAATAAATTAATTAATATGTAGCGCGTTGAAAGTTTACAGTCCATCGACCGAGCGAGTGAAATGCGCCCAACAAATGCTATAACCCGTATCCTGCTTTCGCATTCACGAGTTAAAAAGGAACTCGCGGAAATGGCAATTGTAGGGCAGTGTTTTTTATTTAACTACAAGCTATCTGATACTATAAGGCAATAATTATAACGTCTTCGTGATCAAATGTAAATTAATATGGCTAGGCCAATAATTCTGCGACGATTAAATATTTATACAATGCTTTCAAAAATGTATAAAAACATGAATGTTCGTTCAATGCTACGAAGCGCGAAGCCTAAAAGGAATAACGATGGTCCAAGGTGGATACGATTTAAAATGATTGAATTGACACTTGTGCTTCCTATAATGCTCAGAAATTAACAAATGGTTAACGCGCAGCGTGCACTATCAGTTATAGTGTACGCGGGAGGTTGCTAAGCACGAGAGAAGCGTAAGAATTGCATCTCGGAACCTATAATATCCGCGGACAAAATTCCGTGCATATGTTCACGCCAAATGTTTGTCATACATCCCCTTTTCAGTTTCTACTAATGCGTCTCGTTGACTATTCGCTCGAAGAAAACTCGATCACGTAAGCAATTTTTTAATTAACATGATTTATTTCAGACGGGATGGATTTCTTTATACCCGGCGATGGCCGATGGGATATAAGTTATGTTGCTATTGATTGCCCGACGATTCCAGGAAGCAATGGAAAAGTACAGCTTCGTTTCCAAGGAAGCAACCCTTGGTACATCAAACTACAAGCCAGGAATACCAAGTTAGATATATTTATATTGCTATATATATGATGAAAAGTAACGCTTTTGGCCAGATCGAGTAACGTGAGCTCTCGATCAGAAGGAAATAGATCAATCTCATTCCCAGAGTCCTCGTTACCCTTGTTCAGCTGGACAAGGGTAACGAGGACTCTGGGAACGAGATTGGAAATATATACATGTATACATTTCACAGCATGGCGCGAAACCTCTCTATTGTTTCTGAAAAACGATCTCAGCTACTCTGGAAAGGCTTCTGTTTGTGTCAACATTAGAGAAGGGATTCAAATACCCCGATGTTACCTCAAAAGGAGAAAATTAGTAAATCTTTAGTTTCTTCTAAGAAGCATACCCAATTCCGGACCGTTGAGTGTATAAAATTAAACATACCCGGTTTCAGACCAAAAACGGCTCAAAAGCCATACCCTTTGGCGCCTTGGGGCCTGTATATTTAGCCTATGCAAATTAGTACCCTTACCCCCTTCCCCTTTCCCCCTTTTCCCCCTTCCCCACCCCTTCCCCCTCCCTTCCCTCCCCCCACCGAGAAATAGAAATATCGTTATAATGTTTTTTTCCTTTCAAGAGTCCCTACTGCCGGAATAGAAGTCATGGTGAAGGACAAGTACCACTGTTTGACTCGAAAACCTGACAACTTCTTCGTTGGCTCAGGACTTGGTAAATTCTCGACTCCTCTGCATGTTCGTTTAACCGCCATAACTGGTGAACAAGTGGAAACATCTATTCCTGACATCAAGAATGACGTCAGTTATCCAACCAATGTGCAGTACAAAGGAATTAACGGTGGAAGTAAGTATTGGCCAAAGTTATTGTTAACCGTTATGTTCATTTTGGGTGCCATGCCTGTAAACTAGCCTTGAGCTAAGTGTATTATAACTATCATCAAGCAGTTGAAAAGAAAGCAACGGGATTCGAACTCATCACCATTGCGAACGCTCTACTACTGAGCTATGAAGCCACTGGCAGCTGGTCAATTGCAAGTTCTATTATTTATACCCGTCAAGTGATGAATTGGCTGATGATGATAATGAAATAAATAATTTATGTTAACTGCGGTGGAAAGAATGAGAAAGTATACTGTCTTCGCAATTGTTGTTTTTGTTGTTTTTGTTGTTGTTGTTGTTGTTGTTGTTGTTGTTTTTGCCGATGTTTTTGTTATTTCATGATTAGGTGGGCCTTCCGGTATCAAGTGTTTTGGTCAGGGAGATAAATACCCGTATCCATCTGGCGGAATGAGTAAGTATACCAGTTATCTTCTATAATATAAAAGCTATTATAAATACTACGCGTGACTGAGTGACATGTATTTTTTGGCTGTTGTGATCTTAGTTTTTTCGGGAAAGTGCCATTTGCCATATATCGTCTGCAACGTCTGTCCAAGAGAAGATGATCAAAAAATACAACTCATGTCCAGTCGATATTGTTGTATTTAAATGCCCATTTTCTTTCGCGAATTTTAGATTTCGCGAAAGTTTTGAAAACGGCCGGGACTTCATGAAACATTTCGCAACATGCAATGAGTCAAACAAGTAAATATAATAAGTACATATACATGTACGATACTAATTTGACTGCTGACTGGCTCCAGTGCCAAGTACCACACTAACTTCTCGTTTATGAATTTACAGCTGGTGGCTCGTCGTGCGGATAATTGCTCAACCACGCGACTGTCACTGCTCTGCATCCTCCGGACCCCCTGTCTAAACGTTCATTTTGGAGGAGTTTTGCTTTAGATGCTAACTTTGAAAGTCAGGAAATAAATACTAAGCTTACTCATTCGTTGTGTTAAAATCCTCTCTTCTAAACTGAGTTGACATCGTTATTGTTTTATTGAGAGCAACCCTGCGACTTTCTGAAAGATGTTATAAACAAATAAATATATATCAGGCGCTTAGTTTGGTGTTTATGCAGACGCTAACGGCTACATACACTTGACACGCGAAGGCTCGGTTGCCTTTAGGGCCAATTTTGATCACGTGACCCTAATCCCTACATCTTCCCCCAACTGAAAAATGAATCAGGGTCCTATAAAAATCTGGCTAAGTAAAAGAACGTCGCAGACCTGTAGTTCGCAGTTGTAGTTCCACACGTGTTCATGGAGGCGGCAATGGCCGAGTGGTTTTAAGTGCGCTGGATTTGAAATCTGGAGGTCCTTGGTTCAAATCCTCCACCCTAGCTGGATTTGCTCTCGTTAGTCCCGAGTTTAACTCCTCGCCCACGCTCAGTTTTAAATAGCCAACTGGACAGCCTCCCACCAGTTGATATTCTTAACAAGTTTATGTTCTATTTACAATATTTGTTTGTTCATTTACTTTCAATGTTCAACACTGTCCCTTTTTCCTTAACTGTAAAATTCTGTGCATCCAATCAACTTTGAAGAAGATTTGTAAAACGGCTCTTGTGCTTAGGCTGTCTTAAGGGTAGAAAGAACCGATGCAAACCACTGCTAGCCAAGGTACCAGGTTCTCGTGCTGGTTTTATGCTGGAACTCGGCTGCTACCAACTGAACTACCGAGTTCACCAGCTTACATTTTAAGAAACTGTTGCACAGTTATTAAACTACTACATTCACGATCATGAATGTACTTGCGCAGTGTATTGTAAAATCCCTTTGCAGTCGGGGGACAGGTTCCGTTTTGGCAAATCTTCGTAGAAGCACTCGAAGAATTTCCGAATCATTTTATCCAATCAAACACTAGCGCGAGCACTCACGAGTACTCACGAGTACTCCGAAAATTGTCACGCCAGCATAGCGCAATGTGGATATGCCATATTGCTTAGCAACTTCGGGACGAAAATCGCGTGCTCAGTTCCGTCTTGGAGACAGGATTTTGCCATCAACCGGTACTGGGATACTGCTGGTACTTATTCCCCGACTGTTTGTCTTCTTTTTTTTTGTAAGAATCTTTTTTATAAGAATACTGAGGCTAAGACAGGGAGGGGGGGGGGGGGGGGGGGGGTGGGGATAGAGACAGGGCCTGGGACCGAGAACCATGCTCTCACAACTTGCAAAGCGATCAATTTCGTTTTGGTCAGCGGTGTTTTCTTAAGGCTTCTTTTCGCGCGCAAAATTCCTTAAAAAATTAATTAACGTTCCTATAAACTATTTCGAGATTATTCTAAACACGTTCAATTTGTCCAATGTGGCCGAACTTTCCAGGAGCTGAATTCGTGAGTTCAAGTCCAGGACAGAAAAAGGAAAATTAACCTTCGCGTGTTGACGTTCTCCATAATACCGCGAATATGGACATTTCATTTTTTTTGTTTTGCATACGAAGGCAAAGAAATGCAAAACGCACGTGCGTTTTGTTTTGCATAGGACGGCAAAGAAATATGCAAAACACACGTGCAGAATATTGTCTACTAATTAAAGTGAATAAGTAGCAAAGGACCGCGAACGAAAATGCTGCTGGTATACGTAGGATCTGTCCAGTCGTCGCGGTCGTGGTTGCATCTTAAAAACGAAAAACTTGAGGAAGAAGTTTATCTGGTTTAAAGGATCACAAAGTAAAAAAAAAATACAATAATCATTCATACATCAGTACGCACTTCCATCGCCTCATCGGCCGCCATGTTTTTCTTTTATAGCTTTCCTTCTGGCTTTAGACAACTTCTACGCACGTGCAGATTATGAATCCGCTGGATAAAGTTGTGATGATTGCTTTGCAAGTTGTGAGAGCATGGTTTGGATTTGATTTAAGAGAATGTATGAGAAGTAGCTACCCCTCCCCCCCCCCCCCCCCCCTGTGCTAAGAATATACCCAAGGCTGAGGTTTAGTTATGAAATTATTTGTTTTGCTTATTGATAGAAAATAAAATACGATACAATCACATAATGTTTTTAAATGAATTTTATTTTACCATTGAAAAGTATCGTAAATATGTGCCATGTGACTTCTTTCATTTTTCTTAAATCAAAACAAGTTAACAAAACGATAAAAACGTGTACAGCTCAGGTCGTGGTATTTTAATGATACTATACTCTGCAAATGTAATCTAAGAATCTAAGAAAAATACAACGCTTTGATATTTCTTTGAAGGGTTACTTGAGAAACCACAATAAACTGAGAAATCCATGACAGCCGCCAACATTTAAGTAAGTTTTGAAGTAAATGCTTTTCGAGTGTCATTGATCTTAGTTCAAGTAGGCCGGAAACTGGCTTGCAACGCGTCACCAACAAAGCACTCATTAAGCTTCATTAACCTCAATACTCAAATAGATATACACCTAATTGCAATAACGTTGTCATATAAAAAAGAAAAATGAAAAAGCCAAATAGGAATTAATTAGGTTAATCATCAAAGCTTGCAGCATTCTCAGAGAACTCACGCGTTTATAGCTGTATATTAATCGTGTAATTAAGATACATTTAAGACTTACTTGTATTTTGAGGCCGTTTCTTCGACATGAATGTAGTTTGTATGCCTAATTAATTCATATTTGCTTTTTTCATTTTTCTTTTTTCTATGACAACGTTATTGCAATTAGGTGTGTACAAATATTATGATTAATGTGGAATCCCTTAAGCCTGATTTTCAAATGTCGAAAAAATCCCAGAGCATCGGGGATTTTGTTATTTCCCGACCGTCCCAGACATTCCCCACTTATGAAAACAAGACGAGGTAGATGTCTCCCATTTTCTCCCTGAGTCGGGAATGTCTGGGACGGTCGGGAAATAACAAAATCCCCGATGGTCTGGGATTTTCCCGACATATGAAAACCAGGCCTTTATATTGCTTTGAGTTCTCGTTGATTCGTTTTGTTGTTAAGGTATATTTCTTGTGATTGGCTATTGTAATTGCTGTTTCTTTTTTATCAATCAATTGAAATATTTGTCTCGTTTCTTGTCTATATTTTGAAAATGTCATAATTCTTGCTATCTTTTTTTTAATCAAAAAATAGGTTTAGGGTAGGACTGATATGTACAATATTGTTTTGGTTTTACGACACTCCATTGAAAACGCTCTATACAATGTGAACAATAGGTGTTCACTTTAGAATAACAACTAGAAAATGACCAGTAACAGTATTATTAAGATCATTACTAGTCTGCTATTATCTACTGAGCCCTTTTGACATAACAATAGCTATTCAGTTGTTAGAGAGATAAAGCACCATCGTTTCAACGGCAAACACGGAACATAAGCTTGCAGTTGATTCGCTTTACTTTCCCTTCAATCGTTAAATAAATCCATCAGAAATATCGAAAATAATTCACACGTTCACGACAAACGCGAAATTACTCTCTTTGAGGTAGAAACGACAAACGGCAGACGACAAAAAGTGGGATTCTTGCCGTTTGCGGGAGAAACAAACGGGATGCTTAATATATCTCTATTGATGTTATACCACTTTCCCGTGATTTATTACTTCCCAAATTGTTGCAAAATATTTTAATTTTCCCGTCTTATTACTTTTAATCTGCTCAGAAGAGGTTACTTTACTAAATTACTCAACTGATCTAGTCAATCGTATTCCTTCTTAACAACTGCAACGTTTCTACCATGGCCGATTGGGAAACCATTCTCTTCACTGTTCTCAACAGTGCGTCAGTAATAGTTGGCAGTTGCGCCAACTTACTGATTATAGTTTCGTTTTTTGTTATTAACTCGACAAGAGAACCGACTGAACTCTTTCTGGTCAGTTTATCTGTGGCTGATTTCCTGGTCTGTGCAGTCTACCAACCGCTGCTGGTTATTTGCTTTAACAACCCGGATCAACTCTTTAACCAGCCTTACAGATCAACCATGTTGTTCTTTGGTTACAGTTTAATGACCGCCTCGATGAATGGCTTATTAGCTGTGAATTTCGATCGGTTTGTGGCCATATATTTGCCTTACAAGTACATGACCTGGATCACTGAGGTGAATACTGCCGTAATTATCTCAATTTCATGGGTGATATCTATCGCTACAGGAATATTGAACTGTTTTAAAGGTAAAATTCCTGGTGTACAAGTAATTGTCCGCTTGTACACCACCATAATCATCGTGTTAATTCCAATCCTTTATGGTGCAATTTACAAGGAAGCCAGAAAGCAAGCTCGACGCATCATTGAGCAGTCCATGGCAGGGGCACGCGTTTTACCAAATCGACGCTACCTGACAGACAGAGCCACCAGAGGGGTAGGACTGGTGTTGATAACAACACTGTTGTGCTGGCTGCCATTGATTCTGTCTCCAGCATTTTTACCAAACTTGAAAGCCGATGAAGACGGATTTCTCAGGGGGATTTGGTGGTGCGTCACTGCAGGATGTGTCAACTCTTGTATCAATCCCTTCATCTACTTTTACAAGTTCTCCAAATTTCGGCGCAATGTTGGAAAGCTATTTCAGATGATTGGAATCAATGTTAGCGGCAGATTACCGATCAACATCAACGAGAAAAGAGTCAACCCGATGTCTCAAGATCCCAACCCTATGGAAACAGCTGATGGGCGTGCCGCTTGGCTGGTGGAAGAGCCAGCCCCGCAAGGGACATAAGCTTGAATAACACTTGATGTAATTATTCAGTGAAAATTTCCTTTAATGTTAGGAATGGTTTTTTGGACAGTTGAACTATCTGGTGCATGATAAAATAACTGGAAAGATCATGCTGGCTATGCTAATACCCGCTTGTTTCAGTTCAGATGATCGCGTCAGTTGGGCGGTGACGTTAAGTCGTTGGCCTTGTCTCCTAAACCTTCTCATACTATATTAGTAGGGACGTTAAAGAATTCACATCACTGTTCGAAAAGAGTAGGGGACGTAGTCCCCGCTGTGGTCTTGCCTGTTCATATGTATTCGTGGGTTGGGGCCGATTTACGGGTACACAGTAATTGGCGCAAGCTGTTGTGGTTACCCTGTCTACTTGACGAAGCTAAATAGATGAAATTCCCGGATTGGGCAGAGCATTCATATAATTTTTTTTTATGTGTGTATTAAATTCATATGCTGTTAATGCATAGTGTTCCCAATGATCGATTATCAAAATACGTCGGATTAGAAATCCGCGTCCGTCCAAAATGACCAAGATAAAGCATTGACAAAACTAGTTCCGGGGAGTTTACTTAACTGTTTTAATTTGGTTTCTATATAAAGTTTAATCAAAAATTAAAAGGATTTATATGCAAGAAAATTAATTTTACAGCGAAGAGCGCCCTACCGTTTGCCACTTGAGAACTATTTGACATCTTTTTGACAGTTTC